GACAACCAATGATAGGCTCCCTGTCACCACAGGTTAGCTTGCATTCTTTAGAAGTTCTTCTAAATTCAAATTATAGCGCATATACACTTTGTTTTTTCATTTGGTCTGTCTTCTTTCACTCAGCATACTTATTATGAAATCCATCCATACTGTTGCATGTATCAATAGCTTCTTTCTTTTTATTGCTGAGTAGTATTCCATTGTAATGAATATACCACAGTTTAACCAATTCATCTGTTGATGGATATTCGGGTTGCTTACAGCTTTTTGCTATTGCAAATAAAGCAGCTAATGAACATTCAGGGGTCTTTGTATGGGCATATGCTTTCATTGCACGTTCTAGATACAAATCTTTCGTCGGACATAAGTTTTGCAAATATTGTCTCCCAGTGTGGCTTGTCTTTTTATTTTCATAGCAGTGTCTTTTGAAGATCAAAGTTTTTAATTTTGATGAAATCCAATTTGTTGATGTTCTCTTTTGGGGGGGGGACATTTATAGTTCATGTTTTTTATGTCCTATTTAAGAAGTCTTTAGCAAATCCAAGGTTGCCACTATTATTTTCTCCTGAAAGTTTTGTAGTCCTAGCTCATACATTTAGATCTATGATCCATTTCAAGTCATTTTCTGCATAGTATGGTACACAATTAAAATTTATACACACACACACACACACACACACATATATATATATATATATATATATATATATATATATATATATAAAGGGCTTGTAGAATCATAAAAATACTCATTTATCAATATTAACTGAAGAGAACCCAATAGGAAGTTTTATATACAGCATCAGTACCACTTGATAATCAAGCTTTGACAAAAACAAACCAATGAACAAAACCTAGGACTAGAAGAAAGAATGGAAGGAAATATACTGGAATGTTTTAATTCCCGTTTTTAGATTATATGACCATTGCCTAGTTCTTGTTTCTTTTTTCACTTTTCTATATTTTCAGTTTTCTATAACAAGCAACTACCATTATAAACATAAGAAATTGCAATATTTTTAAAAAGTCACTTAAGAGAAGGCTTCCTGATTCCAAGCTGCCCCCACACTGCTCTTTAGTGCATAAATAACCCCTTTGGAGAACCAGAAAGGTGAACAGAAAACCATATCAAGAATTCCTCCTTTCCCAAGCTGAATAGCAGGAAGAGATGAAACAAAGAATTTCCAAAGAGAGTGTGAGTGTAGCTGAAGCCTCTAGAAGAAATGGAATACAAACCCAAACACAACCCTAATACAGAAAAAGAATTCCGGCAGAGGAAGGGCTGGTTGGACCCTGCCCCGGCCCCAGCCACCGAAATTGCTCTGCAGTCACAGATGTGTGCATCAAACCGCTAGATTCTCCACTCACTCAGTCTCCACAAGCAAGGAAAGCTAATGAAATCCTCTAGCTGTCCTATCGCAATCTGCCTGCAAAGACAGCCTAAGTCTGCATCCTCCTAATCAGCCCAAGGCTGGCCCAGCCACCTCTCCATGTGTGTGCACTCCTGACCGTCTGGCAGGCAGGATTTGCCTCTTGAGCTGCTGCAGAGGCCAGACTGGCTCCTGGAATTGCCTACAGATGTTTCACAGGGAGAAAGATGACTTCCCTGATTGATGAATATATAGAGTTGTCAACATGGTCTCCCTGGTCAACAGGGACCCCTGAAGTATAATGTGGATGGGCAGATGTTTTATCGGGAAGGTGTCCAAGACGCTAAGCAGCAGCATGCACTCGGCTGATATGGCGGGCTGAGGAATTCGGGCTCTGAGAGAGGTAGGAGGGAAGATGGACTCCTGACAACAGCCAACACCGTTGCAGTTCAGACTACCCCCAAATTCTAAGAAGGGAGTGGCATGCCCCCTCAACCTGCCTCTTCCTTGGGCTGTTTTTCCAATGAACCAACGGACATTGTTATCAGAAATGCAGCCATCTTCTTAGTCCTTACCTGCCATGAATCACAAAGGGGGCAGCAGACGTAACACTGTAACCCTCAATTTAAACCTCGCAGGCTTCTTCAGGCAGGAACAGCAAGGGCAGAAATGATCACACTGGGAAGGGGCAGGGTACCTAGGCTCAGTTTCTTTTTTTTTCAGGAGCATGCAACTTTGGGGCTGTCTGGCTGACCTTCCAGAATCAATCAGACACTAATAACTATTATCATAGCTGTTTCAGGAATTGGAGGATAGCTGTCATTATGTGACACTAGACGATGCACTTAATACACATTTATCTTATGGAACTCTTACACAAACATATACACAAAATACCCTATGCAAGCGTTAGTAAAATTTAATACTCATAATGCCCTTTCTGCAAGAATTACTAGAGGATGTATTCCAGCAAATAGAAAAGAGGTAATGGGGTAAATACTTTCATTGAACCCATTTTACAGATGAGGAAGCACGGATTCAGAAAGGTACACTAATTTGTCAATTTCACATAGCTAGGAAGTAGCCAGCCTTGGCATGGAGCCCCGATTGGTCTCATTCCCAAATCCATGCTGTTAGCCACTGCAATTTTGTGGTCACCAGGAGATGTGGGAGATGAGGATTATACTTTCAGCACAAGCAATAAGGTGTTAGTACTTCCAGCACAGAAACATGGCATGCCCAGAAAAACACCATTTACACCTGGGCCTGTCTGAGTGCCAGTGAATTTGCTGCCTCTGTCTCAGACAGGTTTGAACTTAAAACTAAAAATCTCTCATCTGGCACTTCCAGAAAAGGCTATGTTCTAGGAGGAAACAGGGAATGGACTCTCCACATGAGAGAGAGTGAGAGTGAGAGAGAGAGAGAAGAGGAGGAGGAGGTGGAAGAGAGGAGATGAGAGGGGAGGGGAGGGGAGGGGAAAGAGGGGAGAGAGAGAGAGAACCAGATGGCTGAACGACCCAGAGCATTATCCCAAAGGGTATTTGGATATTTTCAGCAAAAGGGGCCATATCTTCCCTCCTTCAGAGAAGGAAGAAATCAAGTGTGGCAGGAGAATCTAGGATACTTTCCTCAGAGTACGTATGCCCTAAAAGGAATTTCTAATATAAAAAAAGTTACTTTTTACATCCCACTCTGCAGTGAACTTGATTTTCCTTGAGGATGGGAACTGTTTACCACTCTAGCCTCAGTGCTTAAAATAAGCCTGGCTCACAGTAGGTACTCAATGCCTTTTTGTTGAGTGACAACAAATGAATGGATAGAGAAGGACAGGTCAAGCAAAGACATCACCACACGGTAGTGATGCGAACATAGGCTTTGGAGCTTGATGGTCCTGGGTTTGAATCATGACTGCCATTTGCTAGATATACAAGCAAATTACTAATGCCTCTCTCTGCCCCTGTTCTCTCATGTTTTAGAGTGGAGACAAAAATAAATACCACCTTGACAGAATGGCTGGAAGAATTCAAGGGTGTGGGTGCTGAGCCCAATGCCTGGGTTACGCTAGGGATTTGGGGGAGAGATGTTACTTCCAGGGAGAACTCTCCTGTCCGGGGGAAGAGCAAAGTAGATCATAATAACTCACATCTTGGTCTTACAGAGACAAAGGAGGACTGTTTTTAGGTGAGCATGGAGGCTAGGTCTGTTGTTGCAGGTACCGCGTTTGTAGAGGCAGAGGGGACAGGGGCTTTGCTCAAAGGAAACCACTTAGAGGACTGACGGTAACTAAAACATGTCCCCAAAGAAACAGCCAAAGGAAACAGCACTGCTGAGCCTTCAAGAACTAAACGATGGGATAAGACACGTTCTTCATGGTTCTAGGGCCAAACTGGAACTAAGCAGCAAAAGTCCTAGGGAGGCAGCTTCAGTGGGAAGCAACTTCCAGAAAGGTGCTTCTTTGCCTACGTTGCGGTGCAGTGTGGGTGAATGGCAGAGCAAGCTGCCGAATTCAGAGCCGGGGGTCGTGACTCCAATCCCCGTGGCCACACCTCTCCGTTGTCTGGCTGTACAAGGAGAGGGCAAAACAGGTGCCTTTCTCCCACTTCCGCCTCATCCAACCCCACTGTTAAAGAAAGGCTGCTTTTTGTGTTTATGTGTCTGCATTCTTTTTCTTTTTTAAATTTACTTACTTCTGTTACATTATGTGGGGTTTTTTTCCAATATTTTTATTGGGGATTATTAGGGAACAGTGTGTTTTTCCAGGACCCGTCAGCTCCAAATCAAGTTGTTATTTCAATCTAGTTGCGGAGGGCGCAGCTCACTGGCCCATGTGGGAATCGAACCAGCAACATTGTTTGTTCAGAGCTTGCGCTCTAACCAATTGAACCATCTGGCCGCCCCTGTGTCTGCTTTATTGCTTTAAGCATTTTGACAGAACCGAAGGCAGAAGTATCCTAAAATCAAAGTCTCATTCTGTCATTTGTAAAAGCCTAGGCCCATTGGGTGATAATGCTGGGAGTGGATGGAGGAGAAGAGGCAAACGCTGTAAGGACCCTGAAGAAAAATGGGGAGACCTCCCCTGGGCTGGGGAGGAGGGCTATCAGGTGCTGCCCGCTGAGGAAAGAGCAACACACGTTCTCAGAAGAAATGGTGCTATGGTAATCCTGAGGAGGCAGGAACTCCAAGCCAGGGCACCCAGCCTGGCAAAGATGCCCACAGTCTGCACGGTCCTGGAAGCAGGCAGTCCCTGGGCCTCACGGGACCTGAAAGGGTTACCATGGTGAGGATGTCAGTGGCAACCAGGAGATTAAAGGTTTAGCCCCTGTTTTCCTAGCTATGCGCTTCCTCGATCTTGGGGTCATCCTGGGGGGTGGGGGTGGGGAACAGTGCCATTAATGAGCAAGAAAGGATTTTCTGTTTCTCTGCTCAGATGAGGGCTCAGAGGCAAATAAAGTTGATTTAAAGGAAATAAGGTTATCGACATTCTTTGCAAATCTGTGTTTGAGGAGGGCACCAACAGCATCAAAAATGGCCACACAAACATCCGGCTGTCCCTCTGCCCGCTGTCCCAGTCAGAAATGGGGTACCCCCGGTTCCATGAGCCAGAGAGCACCTCCCGGCCCCCCACCTTACCTGGGGAGCAGGTGCTTGCGGCTGACACACAGAGCGGTCTGGTAGTCCTGGGTCACGCACACCTTGTGAGGGCTGCACTTCACCTTCAGGCAGGGGTCTTTGGACGGGTCCAGGGCTGAGGTGAAAAGAACAAGAGGGTGGTGGTTAGGGCCTGCAGGGAAAATTTCGTTTCTCTTTCTACTCAAATAGACAAGCGGGAAATAAATAGACTGTGTTTGTACTCTGGGCTGTTTTCTTAGGCTGGTGGAGAGGGCAGTGAAAACCCAAACCGGGTACTTCTGTGTCTGCTGCACGTTTTTCTTCAGCATCAGGAGAGCAATCGCTTTGTGCCAAGGGATATTTCAGCACCTTCATCTAGGGCAGGAGTGATTTTTAAAACCCTCTAGAATCTTACCTGCTCCAAGGACCAAGAGCTACTTTTCCCTCTTTGGTCATTTGTCCGCTACTGCTTTTTATGACTTCGTCCATGCCTAATTTTACTCATTTCCTATAATATAAAAAGTCCTTAAGGACAGAGTTTTTTATTTTTATTTTTTGGCTTTAGCTCAACCCACATGGATGGTGTGCATAAATAAGCCTCTTTTAAGTTTTGTGAAGAACCTCAAGATGTGCAAGACAGCTTTGTGCCACACAAAGTGACAATACAACAGGGAGGGAAGAAAGCATACCCATAAATATTTATTGTGCGAGGGAGAATTAGATAAGGGCCATGACAGGCATATAAAGTGATAACAGCGCCAGAGAAGAAACAGAGAGATCAATTTCTGGGGCAAGGATTAATGAAGCATTAATATGTGAATTGGATCTTGAAGGATGGGCAGGATTTTGAAAAGCAAAGAGAGAAAAGGCACCCCAGGCAGGGCGACCAGCACGTCAATGAAAGGAGGCACGTCTGGACAATCGTAAGATATTCCATCTGACTAGTCAATGTGCTCTGTGCATGGGACTGAGAAGGGGAGAGAGTTGATTCAACCACCTCACTCGAGAAAGGGTCTCCAAGGACAGCAGTACATATATTGCAACATTTCCGCGAACGGGCAGAGCAGCAGGCCCTGGGCTCATCAGCAGTCCACATGCTGGGGTGGCCACGCTCATGATGCCACAGAAGTGGCCGCAGGGGATTCTCGGCAAAACAAAAGCAATCGTGCCATCTCCCAGCTCTGGGCCTGAAGCGCATTAGGCAGTAGATCTTTCATAACTGCTCTCACAGCCAGGGAGGTGATGCTTCCCCCGTCCTCCCCAATGCAAACATTAGGTTAAACAAATCAGCATCCAGAACAGGGACAGCAAAGCTGCTATGAGAAATGCCATCGTGCCCTCCACCATTGGCCCCTCAGCCATCATGACCTGCCCTCTGTCCCCGCACGCGCGCGCGCGCGCGCGCGCGCACACACACACACACACACACACACACACACACACACACACACACTTAGAGGAAGTCATCACTCCTGTCAGCCCACCCAGGCCCAGGATCTCAGCACCATTTTCTTCAGATGGCTGCTGGGGAGGTCGCAAGGAACCTGAACACAAACATCCAAAGGCATCTCTGCTGCTTGAACAGCTCAGGGTGGCTTCCTCCACTGCAGCAGCCTCAGCCGCTATAAACAGAAACCAGGTATATTCTTAGGCCGGTCAGGTCAACAACAAGCCTCCAGTCCTGGTCCATGCCCCAGGGGAGTCACCTGGCAGAGCCTACTCCCCAAGGGATGTGTCTGGCTGCTGTAGCTGAGCAGAAATAAATGGGCGGCAAGATGAAAGGGAGGCTGATTCGAGCCCCAGGGACACAGTGTTCACTCAGAGCTCTTCAGCTAAGGTCTGCCTCTTGGAGAGGGATGCAGGGGGGCCTGTGTCTGCCCTCAGAGTCCTCTGAGGCTGGGCCTTCCACAAACTTGCACCGGGAACTTCCTGGTCCCAGATGGAACTCTCTTGGTCCCGGGGACATCTGCACGAGACACCAGGAGGCTGGTGTGTCTCAGGCCAGTGATCTTCTTTGTGCTCTGGGCCCCACCCCAACCCAGGTGACAGTTCAATCAATTTTAATTTGCTTTGCCAGACTTATCCAAAAGCGAGCCAACAATGGAGGCTGATTACCAGATGGACACTAACGATGACCATACTGGTCCTTTGCTGCCTTTCTCACACCTGCAGCCACCACAGGATGAAGAAAGACACTTCCGGATCTCAACAAACTTGGGACCAGACTGCTGGAAACTCTGGCCACAGGTACCAGCTGGGAGGCATTTCCCTCATAGGTGCCACGTGCCGCAGAAACCTGGGGATTTTCACTGGAGTGGAGCTCAGAGACGGAGACTGACAGGCTGGCCTAGGGTATCAAAACCAGTAGTATGACATGACAAGCGTTATGGCCAAATTCAAGCTACGCTTTCCTTCTGCGGTCAACTTTACGAACACGCAATGTCCATGCTGCGACCCAGATGGCCTCAGTGGACAGTGCGACCTCAAGGCAGGTGAGTCAGCCGAGCACCATAGGAAGAGCACAGACTCTCAGCCCAGTGTTTCTGAGTTTGAATGCTGGCTCCGCTACTCACCAACCTTTCTGTACCTCAGTTGCCCCTTCTGTTAAACGGGATAATAACAGTACCTACTATTGATTGCTTTTGACTGTCGGAGGATGAAATGAGTTAAGATTTGTAATTAGAAAAGACCTGGGAAAGGCAAGTGCTTATAACAGACCTCTTAGGTGTTTGTTCATTTCTTCTGTGTCTGCATTTTGTTTCCAGAGTGAAGAATAAGCCTTCACAATAACAAAAACAATAGGTAACACTTACCCAGTGCTTTTGACATGCAGGCAGCGAACTGAGCCCTCTAACTGGATTACCATATTCAATTCTCACAGCCTTCCAAGGAGCTGGCTGCCATTAATGTGCCCATTCTGCAAATAAAGGTCTAAAAGAGAAGTCCCTGCTGAGAGGTGCAGCGGGCACTGGCCACCTGCGGGGCTGACTGCAGGACCAAACTCCTTACCTCCACAAGACAGCAGCCTGAGAGTCATCCAGTATCTCCTTTAAAGAGTTGATCATGGGCCCAACCTCATGCCAAGACAGAGCTCAGATGCACCATGTGCCTGAGAGGTCTTCCCGGGAGAGTTAGTCTTAAGGGGTTAAAGTAAGGGGCAGCCAGGGGGCCTGGTGCTGCCCAGGCTGGATCACACAGGACTGCCCCAATGTGCTACACACACAGCCTCAGTGCCCTCCCCGCCCCACAACCCCTCAGGAAGGCAGGGTGCCCAGCCCTGGGCAAGTGCGCCCTCTGCCTCCTGCCTCTGAATACAGCAACCCCCCAACTAAGTCAACTGACCAATGAATGGCCTGGTCGATTCTCTTATTTCCATCTTGTCATCTGTCACCCTACCATTGGGCCAATACCGTAGATCACCCCCTCCTCCAACGCTTGAAGCTAACATTTCTAGAACAAAACAAAGAGCTCCAACCCAAAACACTACTAAATAAAAATCATCAGCCATTTAACTCCATACACATACTTCCTTAAGAATTTGCATATAGAAATCAAGCCGGCTAAAAATTAATTACTGGGAACTGCATACTTCAAACATGGATGCGAATTATTTAAATGAACTTCACAGAACAACAGAACAGTAACAAATCAAGCTGTCAGCGTTTATTTAATCACCAGGACGCATCTTGTTTTTGAAAAAACAGGCAAACATTGGAATTAAAAGGGGATGTGGATGGTAAAGAAATGTGTTATTTCCATTTAAATGCGGCCTCTGAAATATGCTTTTCCTAGTAGCCCCAAGGCTCACGGTGATGCCTGAAAGCTGACACGTCTGAAAGGCACCCAGCACCTGTTTTGGACAGGGCTGTTTGGCTTGGATTTCTAAAGGGAATGATAAAACATCAAAATAATAAGTGGCATTTGAGTGGCCCTTTAATAAGGTATGGGGAGACTGTACATACAGGTTAGGAGAAAAGGAGAGAGAGAGAGAGAGAGAGAGAGACACAGAGGGAGGGAGGGACGGAGGGAGGGAGGGAGAGAGAGAGAACCCAGCATTAGTGATAGAAGCTTCCTTGTCAAGGTGCTAATGATCTCTGGAGACTGTGGTCCAAACTTTTCTCTCCAGGCACATGCTTGGTGAAAGGATGCAGCAATCCCCTTATGATTGCTAAGTCCTGTGTCCCCTCGACCTCTTTTCTCTCTCAGTACCTGCAGGGCTTACGTGGACTTACATTGGATAATGTGCCTAGCACAGAGCAGATACCCACAGGAAGTTAATTCCATCCTTCCTGCCCATGCACAAAACCCAATCAAGCGCCAGCTGGCCCATGAAACATGTCCAATTAATTTTGAAATAATTTTTACAAAAACCTTTTTCAAGGAATAGAACACGAATGATTAATTTGAAGAGAGGTTTGTTGAGCTGAAAAACACTGAATTCAAAAGCCAATTAATTACAGGTTGCATGTAAGTTTTTAAAATTAATTTTATTTCTTAAGCTCACTGCTTGATCTCAATTAAGGTAGTGATGTTTTAATTCTCTTAATTGTTTCTGAACTTGTTTGCAGTTTGAGTTATTTTTTAATTAGCTACATAGATTTTAAAATCCGGAACCGCACTTTTTTTGCTGTCCTTGGGCACATCCTCTAAGCTCGCGGGCAAAGGGTCATAGCCGCTGTAAACAGAGCAGGGTGCTGCCTCCGAGATGCTAAGAGGAGAGGATGTTCCATTGTGGAGGTTACCCAAAGGGGCCCTGAGAGTCACCTGCGGGACTGACACGTGCCTGTGTTTATTCCATTAATATTCGCAGAGCACCCACTCCGTGCAGGCCCGTTTTTGCAGGCTGGAGGCTGGCACCTCTAGCGTGAACAAGAAGATGTCGTTCCTGTTGACCGGGAGCTCACAGCTCAACAGGGGAGACAGGCAATGCAATGGGAGAGTAAGTTCTGTGTGTCATGGGAGACAGGGGAGGTACCTCACCCTGCCCCCCAGGGGTCAGGTAAGGCTTCCTAGAGAGACTGACATCTATGGAGAAGTGAGTTTAACCCACAGAACAGGATGAGGAAGAACATTCCAGATAAAATCTCCCTTTCCAGGCATCAGAGAAATCATACAAAGCTTGGGGAACTGCAGTAT